GGTCACCTAGAATGGAGCAGTTGAAACGTAGTTGGTCACCTAGAATGTAGCAGTTGACACGTAGTTGGTCACCTAAAATGTAGCAGTTGACACGTAGTTTTACACCTACTGTCAGACAATCTAATCATTACTTTAACTGTTGCTAGACATCACGATTCGAGTTGCCCAACACAAAATAAATCAAAAAAAGGCGATCGCGCACTCGTGTGATTAGATCAAAACAACACTAAATTATTTATGGTCGGCATTAATCCTGATTCAAATAGTGTCTTATTTAGCCTCAAATACGTTCTAATAGGTTAATACCATAAAAATACTAACTGACTCTGTTTTGTTCAAAGCGCCCATAATAGTTCCCTGGACTGAACCAGTTGAAACCATCGATTGGCGACGCATCTTGGTTACAGACTGGTTGCATCTTCCAATACTTTTTGAAAATGAAACCGCAATATGTTGTTTTAGCAGTGATGGTGAGAATGACATAATTTGGAAAAATCTGATTTCTATGAATAAATAAATGTGAATTCTGTTGTATATTCATTTTTGAATGTAGTATATTAAAATGTGTTATGCGCGTTAAATATGCAGTATCTTCTATATCTGCGAATAATTTAATAAAACAATTGAAACGTCTATCCTATCATTTCTTCACTCTCTGATTAAGTTTTTTTTGGCTGCGTTCTTTGTTATCGTTATCTCATCAAGAATAACCGTCCCCGGAACACTCGTCGTGGTGTTTGGCGCAAGTGAAAGTGCACGCTTGGGCACGCTTAGGCAGGGGGGGGGGTGCCCTGTAACGCAAGTTTAGTTTCTCGATGGTAATTGAGCAAGCTTTGTTAATACAGCTAAAATTTCAATTTTTTGAACAGTTTATATTACTATATTATTTGTGAACAACAACAACTCGCGGGACGAACCCGGAGACTTTATTGTATATCAAGTTCAGTGTTGTTACAATCAATGCAATGCAAGCGACTTAAAATGATACTCAAGTATTGATCACGTCAGCATGTACCAGCATGAGAGGACAGAGGCGGCGGCACCCCGGCCGAAATTTTGCATGAGGGGATATCTGAAATCTAGACCTTCTGAAACGCTATTTCCTGCATTTTGACAGGTAACATTTGCTGACACAAAGGGTTTCAGCTTGAGGGGCGACGCCCCCCGACATTTTTCCGGGTGGGCGACTTCCCCCTCTGTAAACCCCCATGCCGTCGCCACTGGTCGAAAGAAACCATGGCAACAATGCGTGTGGGCAGATGAATGCCTGGAAGTGAGACAACATTGTACCACGGGCAATCTACTATTCCATCTAATGATGATCACTTATATACAACAAAATCATCGGTACATTAAACTATCATTTACGAGTGCTGTGCTACAATAGATGCCGTCTATACTCGTTTGACTGTGAACACGTTACGAGTAATAGACTAGTGATTCGCTCTCACGTGTTGAGGGCGAACTTTAAATACAGCTCAGTCTGTGCCTGGGTTTTCCCAGTGCAATGAACTGAAGTAGCCAGGAGTAGCCAATATCTGTGTCAACTACTTAGTTGCCTACTACAAATGACTGCATTGCAGACTAGTGCTATGCTTTCTGCACAATGGTTGTGACATGTGCGTGTTAAATCAGTGTGTATCAGGAATAAAGAATAGTCACTGGAATTAGCGATATAACTCCTGAGCAGCACCTTAAATTAAATTAAGGTAATTGGCGTACATTTTCTTGTTACGTAGTTCAATCATGGCATTTAGTGTCTGTGACAAAATTCTCTATATACTCAGTCATCACTTGCACTTGCAAATAAAAACCTAATTGAAGCAGATATGAAGGCAATACTTTAATACAAAATGACCATGTAACATTCTTTCATCTCATTTATGTTTAAGCTAGAAATCGACTGTATCAAAATCAAAATAAGGTCATAATATAGGGGAATACTGTAATTAACCGAATTGTTTCCTTTAAACCCCCGTTGCAGAATAATTGAAAAAGACACCCTATGTTGCTACTTTTAATTAGGCCCTTCCAAGAAACTTCAAGTCATGTATTGTGTTTCTTCCAGGTAAACACTATTTCTCATGAAATAATGCTTTATTGTATTTGTACATAGTATCCGTGTGTGAGCTAGGAGTTGCATACGACGACGTTGTCTAGAGCACCGCAGTCCTAAAACTTCTGCATGTAAGTATATATTTAGTTACATGGAGCTAGTTCATAATATGATTCACAGCTTTTAATAGTCAACACTACACAACACTATCTAGCCCCGGTAGAAGTGAACTGGACTGAAATCAACGTTTTCTAACTGTATTCTTGGCGGTATGTTTTTTTTTTCCCTGGAACATTCGACGCCAGTTCGACAATCCATATAACTATAGCACAATAATATAGCCACCCTGTATTCTATATCATGCCACGATCGTCCTAACACTTCATTGATGATAATTATATTATCAAGGACTTTAAGTTAAAGTGAAATTCTCTGATCAGGCAAGCAAATTCCAGATATTATTATTATCCAAGTATAATCAAATTAGATGTATTGAGAAGGAAGCATGGTTCAATGGCTATCGCATTGAACAGAGTTGTAAGTTCGTTCTTTGGCTAGGCGTACTGTATCCTTTTTATGCATACAACTACACTGTCTATTATATAATTTCGTATTTAACTCTACTGCTTTTCACTATTACCCAAGAGTGAATGGGAACCTGGTGTGAAATCTTGGTACATAATCCATGTACACCTGTATATGTCGTGGGGCGAAATGAGATGGCAAAAACAAATTCTCTGTACAGGTCAACTAACAACCATAGTAACCTGAAGCGTATGTAATATTCAAATCATAATTACAAAGTTATGCATCTCGGCATATCCAAATCAAGTCAAAATCATAAATGCAAGATTAGGCATGTCAAAATTACATGTATTAAATTATATTCCTATGCATATCTAAATCAAATGTTAAAAGTTAGACATAAATCACAATAACAAAGTTTGGCATAATAGATACAGCGTTATGGATCTAGGCATGCATAAATACAAAGTTAGGCATATCTAAATAATAATTACAAAGTTAGGCATCTATGCGTATACGAATGTGATGTACAAAGTTGGGCATCTAGAGGGAGGCAAATCTGATCCACGAAGTACGACACCAAGCTGCGGCAAATACAAAGTTAAACAATTAAAATGGCGACCACATTAGCACGTTCATGTAACATTATACGATATGTGACGATGAATGTGTCTCTCTTCTGAAAAAGCACATTTTTTTCTTTTGACGAAAAACATACACATAATCATCTAGTTGAAATGGCATTGTACTCATTTTCACTTGTTAACAAAAACCCACAAGCCTAGAGTTATAACCCTAAGAATAATTTTAAATGAGACAGACATTCATAACTGAATATAGCAGGAACGCTAAATGATTGAAGTGAGGTTAATGATATGATAATATTTAATTTAAGAAGTCGTGAATCATAACGAGTTTCGTAAGTTACTAACACAAATTTATAATTGAGTTGTTTAGTGGCGGCGGGACAGGGCAGGCAGAGGGGCGGGCGCCCCCTCGAAATTTTTTTTTGGGGGCGTCGCACCTCCAAAATCAAGCTTAAATAAACCCTTTTGTGTCAGCAAAGTTTGCACTTCAAAATATAGCAAATAGCGTTTCAGAGGGTCTATATTTCAAATTTCCTAAGGGGGAGCATGCCCCGGGCCCACAAGTAAGGTCGCCCATTTGGTGCAAGGTTGGTGAGCAGATATCGTTCCCCTCCCCCATGCAAAATGTCGTGCCGCCGCCTCTTTTGTTAAATACATCAACTCCACGAGTTGGCCTTTCAAAGCCAGCAGTGAATTCACCTTATCAGTATGCATGCCTAGTTCGCAAAGAATGAACACAGACGCTTTGAAACACGGTGAAAGAAACACTACAAAAGACAAGGTACACCATAGTTGTAATTTTCATTGTCCCACCTTACTATGGCTACCAAAGAATGCAGACACCGCGTAAATATAAAGTGTAAGCAATGCTAATCATGTAAACAACCTACACACGCGATAGTCGAAATGAGAATATATTACAGTATTGTAAACTAGACATCGAATTGACAATACGGGCTACGCGATATAAATGGAACCTTTCGAAATCAGTCATCGGCCGGCCGTATTTGAATAAAAAACCCAGCAACAACGTTGATATTAGACTGGATGAAATCATTTTAGCGATTTCACATCAATGGATCTTAGAAATATTGCATAAAATCTACTACCCATAAAACTGTCAATTTTAAAACAATTCAATCGACAAGCAGTTTTTCGTTACCCGCCTGATAGCGTTCTACACGTAATTTTAATTGTATTGTGTTTAAAACTAATAATACATCAAAATACGTTTCAAAACTATTGTTACATTTATAAATCTATCTCATCTTCGTAGTCACATATTGGATTCCTTCAAAGAATGCAGTCACATATTGAATTCATTCAAAGAATGCAGTCACATATTGGATTCCTTCAAAGAATGCAGTCACATATTGAATTCCTTCACGCAATTTTAAAAACACCCCAGAAGAGCTAAGTACAATTGGGAGTGACTTCAACGCATGTTTTATACGTCACATATTTGTTAAGTAACATGTGACGTTTGACCCGGGAGTTTTGACATAGCAACAACTTGTGTGATAGTGGGGTTTGTTGTACCGTATCTATGACTATAGGTCATGAAACCTATATGACTATAGGTTTCCTAAAATCAAAATGTATTCATGCCATGTAGTTCCCGAAAGGAATAATGGGCATTTGGTGGAGAGATGGTCGCACAGCCCTGTCATGTAGTTTCAGACATGAATTAATGGGCATTAATAAAGAGATGGTCGCACATGTCAGGGCTGTGCGTTCAACTTTTGAAAAATCATCAAGTTGACCAACAATAGCTGAAATAGACAAATCGGATTGGCTATAAGTATAATGAATATTTACATTGTCTTGCAGTCATGGATCTTACGAAATACTTCGACCATACTGGCACAGTTGTAGATATCAAAAGATGGAACAAGAGTGAACTGCCTCCTGAATTGAATAAGCATTTTCTAGATAAGTTCAAAAGAGGAAATATTAGATCATTGGATATGTCAGAAAATACATTCCAAAATATACCAGAGTCAATATTTCGACTGGAGAGATTGACAACTCTGTCAGCCGCTAGTAATCAGCTAACTAATTTACCACATAACGTATCTAGTTTTGAAAGTCTATCAGATTTAGATCTATCAAACAATCAATTTAAAAATGTTCCTGAATCTTTGTGTGAACTGAAGACACTAAGCAGCCTCAATCTGAGTAAAAATAGATTGAAATCAATAACGCCTAAACTTTGCCAATTAAATAATCTAAAGACGTTGCGTCTAGCAGACAATTCGTTAACGACTTTTGAATCAGGTGAGATATCTTGCATGCCATCACGTATTTGTCGAATTTATATAGAATAGTAATGTAGAAATTCGGTATAACAGTGCATAGTTCTCTTTGAATAATCATATATAATTTCTTCTTATAGCGGATTGGCCTCAACTCACCGAGCTTGACTTATCTAGGACCCAACTCACCCATATCCCAAAATGTTTGAATCAACTTGAAATTTTGAAACTATCGGGCAATGCGATATCCGAAATCCCAGACAGTATTGGTTTGTGGGTGAAACTTAAACACTTGGATATAGATAAAAATGAACTCAAGTCCATTTCACAAGAAATAGGTAAGTACATGCTGTTATTAATAATTTAAATATAAAGATATACATTTTTCACTGAAGAAGCTATACTGTAATTTGAATTTATATTTTAGCAAAACTTGAAAGCATGGAGACACTAAATGTAGAAGCTAACCAACTGACCAGTTTGCCAGTTGTGATGAAGAAAATAACGTCACTGAAGAACCTGTATGTTAATAAAAATCCAATACAAGAACCACCTCTTGATGACACAACCAATGCCATCCAAACATTCACAAA